GAAATAGAAATACAGCATGAATGGAAACAAGAGATAAAGATGAAGATATAAATAAGATACTAAAATAGACAATGAAATAAATAAAATAAAATATTAAAGTACACAATAAAATAAAATAAATAATAAAATAGTAGAGGAGACAATCTGAAATATATACAATATACAATGAAATGGTTGTAGTGTTATAAATGAAATAAGAATGAGTAATTATATTGTGTGTTTTGATAAAAATGAGTAATTATATTGTGTGTTTTGAATGTATGTTGTGCATCCTCAGTGCATCCCGCATTCTTTCAGAGGACTGGCTGTGCGCATACTGAGAATTTAATACTTCCTGTTTGCAAAATACAGTATCGCCAATCAGTGGTGGAAGTAGCTTACCAGGATGGGTCAGCAGCACACTACGCAACGGTGGAAAGCTTTGAATAAAAACTACTACGAGTATAGTTTATTGTTGATTCTCATTCCCAGACGTCAAATACTGATGCTTTGGGTTGGTGGTTCGGTCTGACTACCAACCAAAAGCGTCAATATTTGTTAACCTACAAATGAGACTCAATAATCAACTATCTCCCTCCAGAGTTACATACAGCACCTTACATTTTAAAAAATAATGAGAAATTATTTGTTTATCACTATAATTTTTACTTGCAGCTCTAGCAAAATCAGACTTTGGGCCAAACTTGCTTCAGCACAAAGTGTGTATAGTCTTTTTAGTACAAGATTCCTTCTTGTGTTACTATCTTTCCACAGCAGCTGTGCAAGGAAACACTGACTGGGGAAACAAAAACAGGGATGTTGTACTAAAAAGAATATCACTTTGGAAGATTTGGAAGATTATCTAACTCAGACTGCTGGAGCCTCAAGTAAACCTTGGCCAAACTTGGTTTTAAAGTTCAATACGGAGAGGAGGAATGATAATAGTGATGGATGTACACATGTATACATGACCTTAGGAAAGACAAGAGCAAATTCGTAATGACTGCGACCATGTACTTGAATGCATCCATGTGCTGCCCCTTTTTTTCCATTTTAGCACAAACAGTTACTCAGCAAAACCTTGGGCAAACTCTATGAATCCATTTTGAAGTCATGCACCCTTTTTGCGAAGAGCCACTCACATTGCCACACCCTTTTTTAGCCAATTGGCATCTACACAAGGACACACCTTCAAACACGCCCTTGACCTCCATGCCAAATTTCAGCCTCCTAAAACTGTAGCCATCATAGGGTGGGGAAATTTTTGTGGACCGACTGACTGAGCAAGCTATAGAGCCTCTGGTCGCAGCTAAAAAAATAATTTAGTTGTTGTTAACTCCATGGAGGAGAAACTAAACTCTTGAAAGCTGAATCTGAGACCACAATCGCTTTATTTTTTGTGGGGCTCATTTTCTATTATGAACTTATCATTATTCTTTGCCAGGTGTTTTCTTTGCATTTCCATCGGTGAAGTATAGATCCGGTTCACACACCCAAACCACAACATCCACTCTCTCTCCATCTTACTCTGTCTTTCTCTGTTATACAGGACAGGACAAGGTCACACTCTGCTCCACCCTTTACAGTACTACAGTAACACGACACTCCACACAAACACACACACATACACACATACAGGTACGTGCACAGGGTTCAGCTTACCTCTCCTTCCACAAAGCCTCGTGGGAAGAGTGACATCATCCCCTCTCTTTCTTCACAGCTGTCAATCAATGTAGACAATGAGGTCATAGGGTTAAACCCCTCCCGCTAGGAGCAGCCTCTATGACTGTGTTGAAAAGAGGGCCTGCCTAAGTACAATATCACATAACACACACTGAGAACAGTTTATACTTAAAGTGTGTATTCAAAATGGCTGGAAACTTTCTGTAGCCTCCACCATGAGTGACTTGGAATGAGTGCAACAGTAGTAAATTTTAAACAGAGAGCGTGTGAGTGAAGGAGGAACATGATACTCTTGTTAAACAGTAGCTGTTACAACTTTGAAGGAATCTCATACTGTACATCTGAAAAAAAAAAGTCTGGGAGAGACAGTTTTCTTGGTTTTCTTGCAACTTTAAGCTGACGTTGGCGGATTTACAGTAAAAAAAAAAAAAAGTAGATTGTCCTCAAAGTGACCTCCCACTGAAAATACTTTCTTCTCTGCAAACTGAGTGAGAATAACATCAAAGAGCAGAGACAATGTGCTGTACAGTACAGGGATATTTTTACAGTATAAATTCATGGAAAGATCTTACTTTTTGTGGAGTAGAAAGTTCCACTGGAGCTTAATCTGCCGTCTTTGCATCACAAATCAGGGCAGAAGTTTACTTTTTGGCTGCAGACCACAGCAGCTGATGAGTCATAAAAGCATCATCATCAAATTGGACTTTCAGAATAAATTAGATCTTGAGGCTGATATCTGTTCATCTGGCAACGTTGCTGCTAGAATCCCACTTTTATTACACTTTTAGTATTAAGACCCTGACACACCAAGCCGATGGTCGGCCGTCGACCAAAGTCGGGCCGTCGGTGAGCGTCTGTTGGCCTAGTTTTTGCGGTGTGTCCCGCACCGTTGGCACTTCGGCATTGGTGGCTTTTCGGCTGATTGAGCATGTTGAGTCGGCAGTGGAGCTTGTCAGTGAGAGACATCACTCTGGCTAGCTGTTCAGGTTTTATTTCCTCGCCCCTGTAGCGAGTGAATCTGCCTGTAGTGAAACCGGGGCTAATCAGTGCTTCCTCCTCAGACTCCACTTCACTAAGCTGCCCGACAGATCCGCTGCTTCTTCCCACTTTAACCTGAATAACAAACCGGAGCTAGCTGGGAGCGGCTAGCGGAGCGTTAGCCGCAGCATGACTGGAGGGAAGCACAGCCAGTTAGCCTCTGCTAGTCTCTGAGCTAGCCCCGGCTCTCCGTTTGGATCCAACCGGAGCACTGAGCCCTGGTTTGTTATTCGGGTTAAAGTGGAAAGAAGCAGCGGGTTTATTGGGCAGCTGAGTGAAGTGGAGCCTGCAGAGGAAACACCGGGAGCGTCTGAACGTAATAGTCCATGGAGATGCTGCGGTGCTCGGCTGCACAGATAGGAAACCCCTCGGCTGACAGGATGTACCACTCTCTCACTCCGCTCTCTCTCACGCAGGCGCAGAACGTACGTGCTACTTGGCCGTCGGATGTAGTCCGTGTAGTGTAACGTGTTCAAATGCAACTGACACAGGGCAACATGAGGCGACGTAGACGACGCAACAGTTGGCTTTCGTCGCCGCTAGTTCTTTGATGTCGGTTTGGTGTGTCCACACCTTTAGGCATGAGTACTCGAGTTCTCAATTCAGATGTCAGTATTCATCAAATGTATAGAATAATCACACTTTTTTTTCTTCTTAGTAAAAGAAAAACGTATCTGCACGGATTCATCCATCTTTCCAAACATGATACATCTATGCAGCTGCAGATAACGTTCAACTTTTACAGTCGGACATCACTTGATCTAACGTTACAGGCAGAATGGCGAAGGACAACTTCAAAGATACAAGCAGCAATGTATGCACACATATAAAGTCAAACAATTCAGTACTGTACGATAATATGTTCATAAAAGAACTAGAACTAAAACTCTCCCTCACATTTTTGCTTGGTTGTTCATTTTGGACCCTATTCTCACATTTGATTTTTGATTTTTTGCAAGTACTTGAGTATTCAAATATGGAAATTACTTAAAATGCCCATCCCTAATTCATATATCAATATCTCACCCTGGGTCACGTGGAATTTGTTAGGAAACTCTCTATCAAGCCAGACTGCATTGACATAACAGTATCTTTACTTCACTTAAGGGCTGTTTCATAGTCAACGCAAAGGCACACCGATGCAAACGTATTGGGACACATCGAGAAGCATTGACCGCCATGATGCGTGCTTGCGTCTCAAAATATGTTTTTGATATGCGGCGCAGCGACGCGTGTAATACCATGCATTGCCAGCAGGAGTAATAACGCAAACGACGTACTTGAAATTAACCACTTTTTGTTATTCACAGAAGAATCAGGTATAAAATATGGCGGGCGAGGAGGAAAAACTTTGCGAACTAGTATGGGCACACCCCCATTTATATGACAGTTCTAGTTTCCTGCACTCTAATAAAATAGCAGTAGAAAATGCTTGAAAGTGATAGCAATGGCAATGGGAAAGAGCATCAAAACAGTAAAAAAAGATTGGAAGAACGTGAGGGACAAATTCGGACGTGCACACAAGAAGTGGAAGAAGTCAACCAGTCGCTGCTGCAATTCAGAGGACGAACGTACCACCTTCTAGGCCTATCCTTGCGTTTTGCCTGATTTTTTTGCTGACGCCGATTCAAAAGTAGCATCAGAATGCACTCCTCTTCAGTAGCCATTTTGATCTGACTATCAAATATGAATATCACCCAGAATGTACCGGTGACTCTGCTACCCCCATTGCGTGAGCGATGTATTGCAATTGTCAAGTGTTGACCACGTCACTTGCATTTAATGTGTTGCCTATGAAAGGAAGTGCGTTGCTCGCGTCGCTTCCTTGAGTTGCGTGTGTCAACTATGAAATGGCCCTAACACTGGAACTGCAAGCGCCTTTCCCAAACAACCCTTTCCCTACTTAGTTTCACTCTGTTTCTGCATTCAAGCGGAGGGTCCGCCACATTGAGTGCTGTCCCAAACCAACTAGTGAGGAGTGGAAGTGGGTTCTAAAACCCTCCAACAGCAAGCCTGAATCAATGTCAACTTACTGTCCATGTGCAGCGCAGTATTGTGGTCATTATGGAAGATGCCCAGTACAAATAAAAACATAAACTGCTCAAGCTAAGTTAGACATTTAATATTGTCATACAGACGTTAACTTCTTAAAGATTACATTGTATATAGGACAACATAGACCCTTCTTTGTTCCATCTTGCATCTGCACTGCCATTGATTATTTGAATGTACTGATATTGACTTCTGTGCTCAGTTTACTTCCTGTCCTATAATCTGCTGTTATTTTGTTTTTTTTTCAGCGATCTAAACGGAAACAATCTGACCGTCATCACCAAGGCAGACTTCTCTGGCCTCAAACACCTCAGAGTCCTGTAAGTCACTGCCACATTCATTCCTTCAACTACATCAAAGTTCATTTGTCATTCAGCAAAGTTTCCTTTTACACATTACTGTTGTCCAGAATATCTTTAAATAAATGCAACAGTTTTAAGTCAGTAGCCAATTCTTTGCTGTTGTTCTTCCAGTTACATTTCTGTAGAATAAAGATGCCTGACCTTCTCTCCCAGCTGTCAGGCTCTTTGTTGGCGGGGCAACAGCTTTTATGTATTCAGCAGAGATTCTTTCCCACATTTCTTTGCTTCCTACGAGTCTTAGGTCTCGTAGGAATGTGGGAATCATGGCTGAGGTGCCACCGAATGCCAGAGGGAACAGAATGATGCTTTAGTGACACATGAGCCACCCAGAGGTGCTTGTTTGGTGTCAGTGTCAGTCAAATTTACAACAGGGAGGGGTTTATCTGCGACCTTTTGACCTGGAAACACAGTGCCCTCTGGGAGAGGCTGCACTGATGGTTTCCTGCGTTTACCTGAAGACTGGGACTGTGTTGAGTGTCAGTGATGGACACGAGGTGTTAAAAAGATGACATGCCAGGAACTAATGACATCTCCGGAGGCCTGCTCAGAACAGATTAGCAGCCTGCTGGGAGCCCGGGGCTCACTGCTGTCAGGAGGGGATTGAGTGTTACACCAGTGGTTTATTATGTGGGAGTCTGTGGAGTGTATTTATCAAGTGTACAGATCCCAGCAGCAACAGTGGGAGAAATAATGTGTGTTGGCGCTTTGGTTTTTCAATATGATTAATGAAAAGGTGAAGGATGTTACATTTTGTCTTTTGACTTGTGCAAAGACTCAGTTTCTTTATGCAATGTCTCCACAAAATGAGTTTACAAAATGGCTAATTGATGCCACCATCTTGCCATTATTAGTTTAATTAACTTAATGCACCGATGTTTGTTGTAATACATCCTGATATTTTACTAAGGATAAAAATTATGTGCTTGAATAATGTTGAGAAAAATAAAAGATATGAGGACATGTTGATGGATGGTGATATGATTCAAATTGCATTTATGATTTATGTTGCAGTGTTTTTTATTTATTTATTTATTGTCTTTTTTTATTGCAGTCATCTGATGGAGAACCAGATCGGTAACGTTGAGAGAGGAGCTTTTGATGAACTGAAGGAGCTGGAGAGACTGTGAGAGCACACACTGACACATTCACAAATACGTATAGTATGAAGGTGACTCTCACTAAATTAACTGTAACATTTACACTGCAAGTTTTTTAATTCAGAGTTCTTTTTTGTCCATCCAGCCGCCTCAACAAGAACCGTCTGAGAGAACTTCCAGAGCTCCTGTTTCAGAAGAACGAAGGCCTGTCTCGACTGTGAGTCTCCAAAAGCTCTGCATACTTTCTGTCCTTTACTTCCCTCTATTCTAAATCTAACTTCTGAACCCTATACTCTAGGGGTGAAACATTACAGAGAAGTCAAGGTTCGGTGCAAGTACGGTACAGCAGAAAAAAAATCCAAAAGCATATGGATATGTTTCTTTTCATTTATTTTAAACAAACAGTGGTGCAGATGTCAAAGAGACTAAATTGTTTTGCGGGGAACTGAGAGTATTTTGTTCATTCTGCTTGTGTATTACATTGTATGAACACTGAACAACAGCTTTCCTCAATGGCAAAGGGTCACAAGAGGCTACAAAACTGAATCATCATCATTTCTTATGCTATGAAATCAAAAATAAGTAAAATAATTAAAAGTAAAAAATTGGGAGGAGTGTTTCAGTTCGTTCCACCTTGACTATATTAAAATATTCAAATCACCCAAACGTGGTGTGCAGTGTTGTGCTAACCTCAAAGTTTCCGGTCGGGTCAGGGTTAGGATTAATTGTGCTTTTGAACTTTGGTTCTGATTACACCAGAACATGACCCTTGTACCATGATGGCTCAGCACGAATACACAAACTCTGCTGTACTTTTTACTTCACTCTCTCTGTAGTACGCCAGGAAAAATGTTGGCGTACTTTTCTGCAAACCACGGATAAGTTACATTTGTATGCTTTAATGTAACAGATAGGTTGAAACTTTGTGTTTCAAGAATGCTGAGGTTAAGATGTGGTTAGGTTAAGGCACAAAAACCACTTGGTTTTGGTTAGGAAAAGATCATGATTTGGCTTAAAATACCTGGTTTTGCTGGCACAGTCCCTTCTGGCAATGTATAGGTCAAACACCCTCTTTTTGTAGCTCCATTCACAGTTAAAAAACAGCAGCTGGTTGCTACAAAACACCCACGTTTGGTGTCTAAAAAGACACAGAAAACACAGCAATTGTCTCAAACAGTGGTCTGCAGCTTGGAAAGCGTTTGCCCAGGTGTCACACTACCTACTACCCCCTCCACCTCCTGATGACAAAGTCAGCTCAAGTACTGTGTCACTCAGAAAGGCTGATATGATAAAGTATGAAACATGCAAATATAACATGGTGTTTGCAGAAACATACAATGCCAAGATTTTGTTCTGGGGACTGGGCTGCCCTGCTTTTTTTGTGCAAACTGCAGCCAGTATTTGTTATTAGATTTAGTGATGAGTCTTATGTATGTGTTAGCTGTGTGAGTGGATTGGATGAGGGTATTTTTATTTAGGGATAATGGCTAGTTATCATGGATAAAAGCTAACAGCTAGCAGCTAACATAGCGGACACAGCACCCTGAACTGACAATGTGTAGATTTTCATTGGTATCGTTCCTTTCATGGATTGTCTCCATTGTTTTACCTCAGGTATTTATGTATCACTTAAGGTGGGAGGTGGTATACCAGTTTCAGTACTGGAAAAGAAATTCAACTGGACAGAGAATCTCACCTTTATTTTAATTATTTTCAAAGGGTTCAATTCTAGCAATAAAACTGTTCAACCAAAAATAACCCTTCTGTTTTCATACCTTTAACGGTCATTGCGACTGATATTAATTCACCCTTTGTCAAGACCCGCCCTCCTTGGTTACTGTTGCTGGGTTCGACAAAACTAGTCTTGTGGGGGTTCATTCCCATAGGAAACAATGGAAAACACCGGGAGATCTCATTATTCGAATTGATCATTCTGTCCAAAACGCGGTGTCAGTGATAGAGAACAAATGTGGCCACAGTTGAGTCAACGGGCATTACATGACATTTCCGAAAACTGGTGAAATCGTTGTTTTGTCCCAATGCCTGACGGTAGCCATGGCCACTAACGTGAGCTGTCCCCCCCTCGTTGCTAGCTCTCTCACTCGACGTTAACGTTATATTGAGAGTGTTTACAAGTTTAACACCACAGTAATAGCTAGCTGATGTTATATAAATAACAATGTTGTCCTCTACAAATGTTAACGTTGCCAGCAAGTTAACGTTTAATACGAGCCGGGCCTGTGAGGCCTACCCAACAGGTTAGCAAAGCAAGTTAACAACAGGCTGTAGCTAGCGTAACATTGTTGGATCACATCACCTATTATAACATTAAAAAGATATATAAAAACTACACCGGGAATACATTCTGGATATCTCGATTCACTGTTGCAGACACCCCAAGCACACCTTTTAACCATGTTAAAATAATATAAGTCACTGATTTATCCGCGTTTGCCAGCTAGAAAGCTCTGCGTTTCACCATGACGCCATTAACAACGAGCCTGGGAAAACACAGTCTGGGGCGATGTTTGGCGAACCCCAGTACGCAGCTGTTGCTATGGGGAGGAGCACTCTGGTTGGTGGGTGAGCAGACCAATCAGAAGGCCAACAAAGGGGGAATTCTGTAATAGCGTGAAACCACAATATTTTCTGAGGCCGTTACCGTACCATGAAAATTTCGTACCGTTGCCATCCTAGTATAAAATCAAGCTAAATTTGATTTGATTTATCCTACAGCCAAAACCCACCTAATTTAGTCATTTTAGCTCCCTAAACCCAAAACCCCTACCTACACTCTGAATTGGCACTCCTGACGTAATGCAATAATCCTACACCCTGCAGTGTACAAAGTGTATAAACACTGGCGTTAAACCGTAATACATTTAGGTTGCATATTAGCTAATATACAGATATTGTGAATTACTGGTATTTGTTTGGTTTGAAGTAATAAACTGTCACACATACAAAAGGCAGACAGAGACTTTTTCTGCTGCTCCAGGCTGCGCGCTTTGCCAGTTTTCACATCAAAAATTGACCCATTTTTCTCACCTAGAAAACACTGCAAATAATCTCCCTTCGGACAGCAGAAGCACCACAAATCACTTCCCACAGTCCCACAGGAGCAGTAGGCACAGTCGAGCTTTAATTTGACAACTATGCGCACACACACACACACACACACACACACACACACACACACACACAGCTTTTTTTTCTGTTTAATAACTGAAAGCTTGGACGCAGTCGGTTACTATGCAGCTAAATGTGTCACACACACTCTGCTCTGAAGTCTTTGTTACAAATGTGTGTTTGTAGTGTAGGATGGGGAATGTATCTGCTACTGCCTGGAGACGCCTGGAGACGCACATACAAACACTGCTGGAGAAAAAAAAAAGAAAAGCAAACTCAACAGCGCTCTCTAATTAACTTTTCTCAGTGATTGATCCATTTATGACAGCGATGTGTTTTTGTACCTGTGCGTGTGAATGATTGTGTGTGTGATGGATTTAGCGGCTGACAGAGAAAATGTGCAGATACAAAGAGACACTCTTACTTTTCCTCTGAGCGCAGAGGGAGAGGAAGTAAAGTGGATAACAGCCATGAAAAATACAACTAATTACAGAAAGGAGGTGGGGATGAACAAGTGGGTGCGTGTGTGTGTGTAAATGTGAGTGTGTATGAAGGAGGGAGGCAAACAGAAACTATTTGAGTGACAAAGGGGAGAAGAAAGTGTGTGTGTCAGTCTGTTTGTGGATGTGTGTGTGTGTCTGTCCTGATTATTTGCTGTTTGCCTTTTTGGCAATTTCACACTCTGCCTCCCATCAGGGAATGCCGAGATGGACTTGGCATGTTCGATCAATCAGCACACACACACGCGTGCTTTCACATTCAGATAAAGCAGCACACACATAGTGCAGAGCCATTAGCACTTTCTCCAGCAGGAGTGATTTCTTTTCCTCCTGCTGTGTTGATGGACTCTATAAAGCCTGATGTCCCTCCGAATCACAACACACACACACACACACACACACACACACTGAGCTACTTTTTGTTTGTGTGCATTTTTGTCTCTTTTTCCAAATTACCTTCCCTACATCAGTTACTCTTCGTCTACATTCTTCTCTCCACCACCCTCAACACCTCCCTCGGATTCTTTCTTTTGTTTGTCTTTGATAGTCGGTCTTGTGGTTTTGGTTTTTATAGAGTTTTTTAAAAGAACACACTTTCACCCAGATTGTATGTACTCACTAGAGTGCAGCTCAGGCCGAATATTTCTGCCTGAACCCCACCCGAGTCCAAGAGAGGAGTAACCAAGCCTGACCCAAACTCAACAGGCGTTCTGTTTTTATGTCCGAACTGACCCCAGCCCAATGCAGTTAAAGGGAAACTGGTATTTTTTAACTTGAACCTTTTTTCACCCATGTTTTCATGTCAAATACACATTTTTTAAACACAGTTAAACCCACTAAAATCAATGGACTCCTTTCCCACGGCCAGTAGACCAGAACTGTGTACACGGCTCCACAGCGGACAAGCATGCCTTTCTGTGTTTCTACGTCTGGCTGGGAATCAGGATAGTAAACAGAAGAAAGCAACATGGAGGCAAGTGAAAATTTTACGGTGGTTACTTCTTTTTATATATCTCTTGCTTGTTAAGTCTCTCTTTCAAACTTGGTGCAGATTAACTGGGGCTGATGTTTGAGCACTGCTTGGGCAGAGACAACTGGTATTTTGTGGTGGCGTGTCATTGCATCTCGCCCATAAAGGGACTATAATTTGTGCCTTCACCTGGGTGCAGAGTTGACTATGCATCTTTAGCAACATTATGAAAAGTAACGCGACAGAGAAATAGAATATTTTCCTTTACCTTATGCTGATCTGCTTGTTGGCGTGTGTAACTGAGTCGCCCTCAAGGACAAATCTCGTTCTGAAATCTCAAAGAATTATCCACATTGTCAAAATCGGCTTAATACTCAACCATAACATTGAAAATCTTTTAGCGACACTAAGCTACACTTCCTGGACCCCAACACAACAAACATTTCCTGGCAGTCCATTCTCCATTTCTCACTAATGTTTCCATTGTTATTTTCACTGCAACAAGTCACATCTCGCGAGAAGTCAGAACGAGACTTGTTCTTGAGCAAGATACACAGACAGGAAAAATGTTTTTATTTCTCTGTAGGGTCTTTTCCGTAATGTTGTCAGACAATTTAA